ACACACGCACGATTAGAACCATCCCTCACTGGACTACATATTACTTAGTAACCGTTTTCTGCTACGCCAATATAACTTTGCCAGCTGTTTGGCAGTACCGTTGAATGGGGGTTTCCAGCATTTCTAGCTGTTTCTCGTCCTAGAGATGTCAACCATGCAGAATGGAAATCTGGAGGGTTAAACTGCATGATTATCATAACCAATTACCTACTCTTTTTTTTTTTTTTTTAACTATCTCTCTCGGTACAAACTGGAGATATCGGCTACTTAGAGAACATTAGCATGGCAGCAGAGCAAATAGCCACATTGCAGTAATTGTATAATACTCCATGCGCTTTGAATGGGTAGAAAGCATTTGAAAATCGCACTCAACCTCCCTCACCTGGATGTACACACCTGGCCATGCTGGCGTAAAAGGTCATGAGCGAGTGAAGCAACTGCCAATCAATGCACTAATGCATATTGGAAGAAGCATGAAAAGGGCAGAAATCATCAACGCTGTACTGACTTGGTTAGTGGACAATGAGAAAACTCTGATACTAACACGATTGCGTGACATGGGAGCAAAGCATGGTGAAGCACGTATATGCCGCATTTGAGGCCGAGATGGGAGACAATATAACCAACCTCTCTAGGGAAAATTAGTAGAAGTACCTTAGAGTGGCTACTGCATCAAAGGACTGCGCACGCATAGGAATACCAAATATGAAGTGACGTCGACTGTGATAACATAACATAATTTACTTTCATAATACTCTCCATCTTTTTTTTAGTTGTTTTATTGACTTTTCTTCTCTGTCTCTCTCAATGTGTGTATGCTGGATTGTGCATGTATTGTTTGTGTATGGATGGCAGTGAATAAATGACTTTCTCTCTCTCTCTCTCTCTCTCTCTCTCTCTCTCTCTGTATATATATATATATATATATATATATATATATATATATATATATATATATATATATCATTACCATTAGGCTTTTGTGCCATTATGTGCCACAAAAGGCTCCAGCAGTCTATTTCTTGATTCCGCCTAATCCGGTACAATCAATTTAATGTCATACATGAAATACAGACCAACAAATGCCGGCCTCAAGTCCTAACCACCTCACTCCATTTATTTCCCTATTAAGTACATGTTTTGGTGATTCTCTTTTTATTTCTTCTAAGGATGTTTCCAATACAGCCAAATTTTCTCGATCTCATAACTTTGATACTAGTAGTTACCGATATATTTCTCTAATTTCTTCACTTCTCTTGAATTTATCCCGATCTACATTCACTGTTTTCCTCAGACATTTGGTGTCGAATGCATTTAACTTTCGTTTCCTGTCTTTATTGTTTCTCCAACTTTCACTGGCATATTATTAAAATGATATAATGTTATATATTTAAACAAGTATCTTGGTTTTAAAATGCTATAGTTTTAGTTTAAACAAAGCCTTTAAAAGCTGCTAAAGTTTTATTAGTGGGTGTCATAATTTCTTTCTTTGTAGTTGTAAATAATATTTATTATTTTTATAGGTATACCATAGCATTTAAAAATTGTCCATAGTGTTGTTCCAATTTCATATACTGATGTGTCCTTTGCTATCCCATAAGACCTCGTTGCAGAAGGTATTTCCTGTAAGTTAAAGTTATTTTTTCGCTCGTATCACCCAATTACAGAAAGCAATGCAAGAGTGAGCTGCATGTACATAACTGGCGTATCTCGTGAGGAGCCCACCATTTCTCGCTATAGGAAATTTGGTAGGGGACCGCCTTGCGGTGATTTTAAAAGTGGCGTCGAGAGTCGACCTTTTAGAAAGCAAAGGCGAACTACTGAACGTAAATTTGCTGAGTAAAATATTCAACAGTCAGAATATGCCGGGGCTGGTTTTGTAACGTTCTATAAGGGATACCCAACTAACTTTCCTCGTCTTTCCAGTTCGACTGATATACCGGAGTTACTAAAATATTCCTACATGTATAATGATTATGTTTATTATATTTATTTGTGCGAACATGGTCATTATCTCAGCAACAAGTTACACTGTTTTATATTCGTATACAGGTAGTACTGACCTTGGCTTTGACGCTCTCAACATCGTCATAGCCAATCCATTGGTCGCCTTTCACGTAGTAGGGATTCTTCTGAGAATCGTCTCGCATAATCTTTCCACTCTCAGCAGCCAAGTCGCACACCTGTATGAAATGTTGTTGACAACTTTAGAATTGTGAATCGATAGTTGAGATTACTGGCAGAATCTTTGAAATCTAGGCATTAGATATTCTGAGGAGGCAGGTGGTTGAAGTAAGAATAAATTAAGTTCGTAAGTATTTATAGTCGGCTCTGTGGCTAAGTCGATGCGAACGCTTCGTAATGCCGAGAATACCGGATTCGATCCCAGCTACGGGCCATGCGCCTTGTGTTGGTTTTGATAGTGGTATAAAGAAAGCCCACCGCCCAGAAAGCAACGACAAACTACTGGACTTAAATTTGCCTAGAAAAACCACACAACAGCCAGGAATACAAGGTAAAAATTTATCCTTTAAATGTGCAAACATTTAACCGTCAAGATGTTAACAATATATTAAGAATATAGATGTTAACTAATGACTTGAAAAAAATGGATGCAGTTTATAGCTGCTTCCAGTTCTCTAGTCGTCTCTATTAACAAATGTGAAAAGTTCTTTGATATGCTGAGGATAGTTTGGCAACGTTCTGTAAAGGATACCCAACTAACTGTCCTTGTCTTCCCAGTTCGACTGATGTTCTGGATTTACTGAAAGATTCCTACGTGTATTATGATGATTTATCACCTGCCCCTAGCATCAAACCCGGCACACCGGTATTACGAAGTGGAAAACACCAATATTGAGTCTGGAACCGAAGCTCGCGTCTTTTTGGACGAGAAGATTAGAAATGTCAAGAACGTAGAGACAGACAGGCCCTCAGTTATCCTCCAGCTTATTGGCCTTGACTTGAAGCATGCATATGAACCCCTCTCACCTTCTCATTTGCCAGACATAATGTGGTTTATGTGTCAGGTTAAAGTTTCTCCTACTTTTCAGACCTTATATTATGTCGTATGCTTCTAACCCAAAGTGTAATAACATTTCTGTAAAATTTACGTAACAGAGTTTTCTACTTAACAAATGGGGGTATAATCCACCAGTCATGTTTATAAGTAGGTGTATGAAAGATGCAGATTTTAATTTCAATTGGCATTACTTAGTATGTGCGTGTGTGTGTGTGTGTGTGTGTGTGTGTGTGTATGCCTATGCGGTTTTTATAAGTATTATGTTTGTGTATGAATTTATGTATGTATACACACACACACACACACACACACATATATATATATATATATATATATATATATATATATATATATATATATATATATATACACACAAGATTTTTCGAAGCTTTCGCGATTCGTCACCTGCGCCAAGAACTCTGTATTCAGAAGGAGATGGTTCAGTCTTTACGGCTGTTATGGTAAAAACAGACAGACATGTTTGATCGTTGTTGAAATTGTACCTCAGTTATAAACGATTCACTTTTTTGCTTCACTTATGTAATTGTTACTGTAGTATGCACCTAACCAGTTACAGCGAAATATGCCAGACAATAAATTGTGCAATCTATTGTTTGTGTCTTCTTTGTTCAAATATATATATATATATGATCTCGTGAACTATTCCACTACTAAAACGCTAAAGACTAAACACCCACCTCGAAGTAGGCCATGATCCCTTCCTCTTCAGTGATTGGGCCAGCATTCCCCTTACCAATGGCTGCAGACAAAACCGTGTGCTTTTCGGGGTCTTTAAGTTTAAAGGATCGCCCGTATGTAGCGATGCCAATGTTAAGTAATTCCTTCGGAGCTCCGAGAGACACGTAGTATTTGGCAATCCAGTCCTATAAAAAAAAAAAAGAAAAAAAAAGGAAGCCATAAAACATGTATGGGGGAGGCAGTTGGCGAAGGGCTCCTACAGTATCATCATCAAGTGATAAAGGGTACTTGGGATCAGTCACTCCTGGTTTGACATCCGATATCTGGCTCACATGATCACCGCGTGTCAAACCATGAGACCACACACACACACACAACAGAAGAGAGAGATAGAGAGAGAGAGAGAGAGAGGCAGAGAGACAGACAGACAGACAGAGACAGAGACACAGACAGAGACAGAGACGTGTGGAGGAAGTAAAAGAGATACTTCAGGAACGAAATACATCAGTGTCACATCGTTATTGTTCATTTCCCTTTATATTTTGTAAACAGAAAAACACTGAGCCGATTTGAATTTAAAATAGGCATCAGCATCAACTGGAATTAAAAAAATATGACCTTTAGGCCATGGCGCTTAGCTCGAGAGCTGAGTCGACAACATATCATCCGATTAGCTTTGGATCTTGTTTTTCTTTCATCTACTCGTGGAATGTTATGCAGCGTCAGGGTAGGAAGAGATCTCTAACGGGCCTTCTTTTCGCTTCGTGTATAGTACTTTTCAGTGTCTCTAATATTTTTGCGTTCGACCTCTTTTAATGGATACCAGGCACAAAACGCAGATGTATTTTATTTTTATTTAATTGTAATACTCCGTGACAATCACGAAACCACTCATTGATCAGTTTTTTGTTTTCTTTTGTCATTAATTCAGATTCAGAATAGATGAGTCTTACAGTTATCCTAGTGGACACAATTAAATAATCCTTAGCCTTGGAAATACAGTGAGAAGTAAAGACGGACACGTTGACCACATAGCCCACCGATTGCAGAATGGTCTATGAAAAATGAGTCTATAGCATATAAAGCAGCGTAAAAAGTTTTCTTCCCTTTTTATTTTACTAAAGAAAATGTCGACTTTTGTAGCTTTTCTACTCAAAGTAAAATGTTGAATTAAGAATCAACATCAAAGCACTTGGAAAGCTCGCTAAAAAGCACACCGTCTCCATGTTCAGCAGGACGCGAGGAGTTCCAGTTTCAAATGCACCAGTAACTGTCTGATTGTATATTCGTTTCGCCTTTCCTCTGAATGTTGAGCGCCGACAAGATACCCTTGTAACTCCTCGCAGCGCCATTCTCCTCAAACCGTAATGATCTATCTGTGCCTCCGCACTGTTCAGTCGCTCCCGAAGAGCCCTCAGAACACCCTTCCGCCAAGCGGTGCAGAACTGACCAGTCTATATGCCTGGTAATTTCCCAACACATTGGCATGATCTGGAGAAAATATCTAAGGGATGCTTACTACTCAGGACCTCAGAAGCGATGTTTGCCGCTCTGCAGAAAGCACGTCTGTCTTCCCCTTCTCGACATGTTCTGCGAGTCAGTTACAATCACAGCATGTTTGTACAGCTCCTTCTCAAGCCAGCGGAAGGCAGCAGTTACTGATTCCAACTGCACCCCCAAACTAGACCTTGTGATATCATATGCCAGGCTTTGCTGCACCAAGCAACGTCAAAGTAAAATTTGCCCTCAAACCTTATCAACCGCAAAGACATTATGAAGCTGCTTCTGCAACTTTCGGTAATGGATGCGCAACTAATTTTGTAAATACTTCGGAGCTTAGCCGGCTGTTAGTCTTGACTTATCCAAAATGAAAAAATGAAAAAAAAAATTTGGCAAACATTTCTTAAATTAAATCATTTCAAAATGACGTCTTTTGTTCCATACTGTAGTTTGTAAATGTGTAATTTTCACACCGCATTTCTGGGTAGTAAATTGAATTGTTATTCCACTTTGCTTGTTCGTGTTGTGCAGATTATAACGTTTCTTACCACACAAAGCTGAGATGCAGGATCTTGTTCATCAGGGTGTGAATACAAGGGCGAGTTGAAACCGACCACATCCTCCCAGGCGCCATGTAAGTCGAAGCTCATGATGGTGATGAAGTCTACGATTCTATGGGAAATAAAAAAAAATATCATCCTACAACTGAGCTTTATTGTAGTTATTTATGTTCATATGTTCAAGCATATGGCATTATAACATAGTTATTAGCTGTAGGTCAGTAGGTACATTCTTGCCTGTAAGCCCGACCGTCCTAAGTTAACACTGAAATCAAAATTAAGTTGGCCTTGTGTATTCGGCGTCCGTGGCATAGGCGTTGCAAACGCACTTGGTAATGCAGGGTTTCGGGTTCAATCTCATCTTGCGTTGGTTTCGACAGTGGTACCCATAGCTGACCATTCACGAACCAACGGCAAACTACTGAACTTTACTTAAAAATGTGCATTTAAAAAAAAGCAATATTCAAAACATGCTAGGGATGGTTCCACAACGTCATCGGAAGGATAGGAAAATAATTTTTTTTTAAGTGTCATTTCAGACTCTGATATAGACACGCTACGTGTTTCCGGAGAACCCGATTTGATCCCAGCTGCTGGCGATATAGTACCTTATCGCCTTGCATTGATTTCGACAAAGACTATACAGAGTCGAGTGTTTGTGACAATGGCAAACTACAGAGCGCAAAATTGCCCAATAAAACTAATTAGGCCACACACACACACATACACACACACATACACACACACACACACACACGCACAGATACAGAGGTCTATATAGACATTAATTGTAAAGATTCCTGATAATGTACTTTAAAGTGCAGATGATATTAGCCACATCAGTGATAATCACCATACTTCGCTGTTTATTCTTCGCATAAAATCGCAGTCCATGTCTCCGCTCCTTCTAATTATGTGCATTAAGATAATTATTTTGTATCCCAAATCAACATGGCCAACGGTCGGTGACAACTGAAGAAGCTAACTTACATCAGATGATCAGTTTCATCTTCACAGCAAACAGGTCACTTCACAACTGTTCCATTGATGTGCCAACGAAAACCACACAGTATATCCATCACTGCCTCTTGTGTGGTAAATGACAAACTGATGTCTCAGCAGATTCAATGGCATAAACGCGCATAAGGCAGCCACCAGACATGGCGACATAAACTGTTCGGCACTAAAAATGCAGTTCATCGCTGATTGAAGTAGTAGTTACAACAGATCAGTAGTTGCACACGCAGTTAATCAGATAAGACACCCATTAGTTGGGCGATACACTACAGCCTTTCGGTCTACTTAAGAAAGAATCTGCGACAACCAGCTATTATCAGAAGCAACAGCTTTGTAGGATTTAAAAAAGAGCAGAAGTGTCTACCATGCATATTGACCGCAATCGCTGATTTAAAAAAAAAAAAAATTTAAATACAGCTTTCTGGAATGGCAAAGTGAAATGGGTGCTACAGGTATCTCACCTGGATAAATTTGCTAAATAATAGCTTTTATCAATGTTCTCCTTGTCAGGTGCCCCGGCAAGCGTTAACATCAGGCGCGTTTTGCTAGTTTTTTTCGCTTCTCGCTCAAACTCCTTCATCAGTTCCTAAAGGGAGAAAGCAAACTGTTGTATCTGAGATCTAATGAATTTTAACCTCACCGTTAAAAGTTAACAGTCTGGGGCTTGAGGATTGTAAATGCTGTTTTTTTATTCCCAGATAATCAACCTTTGGTTGCATTTCAACAATAGTGTGGAGCGATGACTGAGGGGGGTGGGGGACCAAACGCAATCTCATCATCAATCAGCATGTCCTTTTAAAAAAAAAAAGCGCTGTTGTCAGGCCACGCGTGTAAGTCTATCCTTCTCTAACCAGCTCTCTAACACTATGTGCTTTAACAGCATATGCATCTTCAATGTCTTGTATCTATCCACAGACGCAGAGGTCTACATCTGCCTCGCTTTCCGGAATCTGTGCCCTCCGTCACCACTTTTCCCGTGGTTAATATACCTCAGCTTTCAAGGCAGGATGCTGTTTTTGAGCAATATCTGTTGTTGTGAACAGCATCACAGACCAGGGCGCTCGCTTACCCTTTAAAACAAAAACAAAAAAACAAAAAAAGGTTTGCTGGAATTCCAGGTGCTTTTCCATGTGGATATGGAAAGCAGCGCGAGATTACAACTTTATATATTCTTACACACTTTTTACAAACTACTGAGCGTAAAATGCAAGTCAGATCACAGCAGATTTGTATGGCGTGTCTAAAATAACAGTTGACTGCAGTACAGCCATTGCTGTCTTTATGAATATTTTTTGGTGAAACTCTAATCTCACCAAAGATGCGACTCTCCAACCACTTTTCATATGTCACGAGAACGTTGGGAGTCACCGTTGTTTAGTGGCTGGACGTCGCCTAAGGATAAGATGGTCATGGGTTCTTGTCATGGCGGAGAGGGACTTTTTGTTGTTGTTGTTGTTCAAAATACGACCTTGGCTTCCAGGTCTACCCAGCATTGAGTGGGTATCAGGGGCAGTCCCGAAAGTAAAGGCGGCCGGTGTGTTGCTGACCATAAAACCCACCAAGTGCCGACTGGTCTATAAAATATAGATATAATAAAGGTAATACATAGATAGAAACAATAAACAACTAATAAAGCTGGGGGTCACAGTAGTCTAGTAGCTAGACTACAATCATGCTAGCACCAAAGTTCCCTGTTCGAATCCTCAAGGAAGCCAACGGCTGTAACTGACTTGAAATCTATGATCAACCCAGTCTGACAACTATACTAGGAAAGATCTATCGACATATAGGTAGATTTAGGATACATTACTCAGACCATTCATCGAGTGCCGATTTGTCTTTAAAACCTATGTCTAGAATCGTATCAATTAGATAATGTAGTTGAAATGCCATTTACCTGTTGTGATTTTCACTGATTCATTTTGTAGTTTAAAGTTTATTATGCTACTCGACCTTTGAGAAATAATAATACATTTAACAATGGCATTTACTATTGTTTTTGAATTCCTGATTAAATTACTGCGTTACTTTCGGATGAATAAGATAGTATTATGACTTCCAAGAAGATGACAGTAACGATTTCACACAGTATGTTAAATGGATGACTTTCTGATGACCATGCTATCGACATTACTTTGTATATGTTGAATGTTAAAATAAAAATCGTCATCATAGCAATGGGTACACTCCCATAAGCGCCATTTCCCCATCTTCAGCAGCAAGCGAAGAGTTCCAATTTCGATTGCATCAGTAACTGTCTGATAAACGTTGTATAGAAAACCACAAAGATTATCGACGTAAATGTTTATGTATCTGTGCAGATCTGTTGCTTAGATGTTGGCGAATGCGGTTAATAATTTAGTAATCCTCTGGTGCTAGGGTTCGTTTACGACGGCGGACGAGAACAAAATCCCTTCTCAGTTTTTTTCTGAAAAGATATAAACCTGAACAAAAAGTATACTAGCAAGCTTCACAATATAACAAATACAAACAAAACCTGAACGTTGCGGCTAGTGAGCAATACTTTCTAGCAAGGGCAGCAGACGCGCCGTGAACAAGACTGGGACCTCACAACGTATTGTTTCCAAAATAAAAGTAATACACAGTAGCTAACCTTCACTGTGAAGACAGTATATACATACATATATATATATATATATATATATATATATATATATATATATATATATATTAATTAATGTATGTATCCAAAATTGAGTTACAGTTGAGAGGTTCGATATCATTGCACCGGGTTTTATCCCACATGGCTTGGTCTCTCTTCGCAAAACGGCTAGCCCCGGCAAAGAGCACAATCTCCGCTGCTAAGGCGACGATCCCCAGAGATCTCCGTAAAATGTGCACTCGTGAACTGAATGACACAGCCGTGAAACAAATCCACGTCCTTTAGAGCGCGGGGCGAATGGCTGGACCACTTCGCCACTTAGACCACTTAAATGTATTTCCATGCCTGAGGAAAATGTTGAGCATAAGAAGGCATGAATTCAATAGAGGTGAGGAAATAAAAGAAAGGCATGTGAAACCAATAGTATCAACTGTTGTAATACAGAGACAGTGGTGCTATACTGGATACATCCTGAGAAGAAACGAGTTGAGAATTACCAAGATGCGCTATAATGGGAACTGGAGGGATTAAGTGGGCGAGGATAACCAAAAGAAACCCTATAACCAGCACTGATAAGAGAGGTCAAGGCAGCCGGACTAAATTTCATATCTGATATTGATAGCAGAGTATAGAACGGAAATAAAGAATGGACTGCGAGTTATATATGATATATATTGGCACAACTGGCCAATGAAATAATCCATCCCTGCGGCACTCCAGTATCTTATGACAAGAAAATGCAAACTTATAAAAACAGTCACTGGCCGACAAAACGAACACACTACGCAACCTCCATAAGATGCTGAAACTTCGGTTTATCCTCTGGCGTGGTTAATATATCCGCTGGGTATTGCCAGTCCATATCAAGGCCATCGAATTCCCTTTTGCGTAGAAACGAGGCTACATTCGAAGCGAAGAGCGACATGTCTTCCAATGATTCTACTACAGGTTTGAAAGGGTCGGATCCTAAATAGGAGCCGCCAACAGATAGCAGGACTTTGATGTTTGGATTTTTCTCTTTCAGCTTAATCACTTGTGCATACCTGGACAACGTGTGCAAGGCGATTAGATTCCCACCATATTAATAACTACAGGATAACTATAAAACACACTGTTATGATGTCTAAACATGTCTACGTAGCACTCAAATGCGTTTCACAGAGTTGAAGAAATTGTGTAGCGATCAGTTCCTGGTCTGTTTGTTTACTGAATAATGATATTCGTATTGCAACAGATAATTGATAACAACTCCGAGCCAGGAGATTATTTACACTGAGGTGTCAGTTCCGAGGGGCATGAAAAATGGATTAGACTTCGTTGCAAAAGCGTAGAGTGGAAGGACAACTGAATAGAGCAGAGCATATGATATCACATCTGGCTTGAGAATGGAGGTTGAGGCGGTAACTGGGGCGTCCCGATGGGTGAAAAAATCTCAGCCACGCATGTTATCATAGTGCCGGAAATGCAAAGCGTGTTCAGGAAGATGGAGTCAGGCATTCTGTGTATGGAATTGATTAGCTCAATCCAGAGGTCGGAGGTGGTGACAACCACAGGAATATTTAGCCCAGGCCATTCAGGAGTGTTTGAAAATAAGCAAGCAGATAGGCTGGTTGAAAGAGTCCCATTTATGGGTGTACTGTAACTGCACAAGGCAGTGGTGATCTCAAACTTGTGGGATAGGTTAACAGGGAAAAAGGAAGATAAGGAAAACCTTTACCTGGAGGAAATTATACTGCTAGAAGTGGCTGTGGGTTCTGGGCGCCAGTCGAAACTTAGAGAGAAAGCAAGAAGAGAGTTAACCAGATGGCAAATGGGTACTATCTGTAGTTAAATTCTTCGCTGTCTGTTAAGAAGGGAGACGGGGCTAATATGGGCTCGTCCTGAACGTTGTGATGTCGAATCCTTATCTAGATGAACCCAGATTCGTACTGCTTCCCGTTTTCGGTATAAACACATTAAACTTCATTAAAGTCAATCATCATCATCAATTTCCACTTCTGCCGTTAAGCATTGTGGGAAGAAACTGTTTGAGATCCTCTGTTTGAAAGGCAGCAATGGCTATTGCCGGCGTCGTTGTTCATTTCATTGGCACCTTTACGTCTTTCCAGACGATAGTGTTATATTGCGCTATGAGGAGGCATGAGACAGAGCCCATGGCGATGGCGAGTGTGACTAGCAAGACCCGCCCGTGTCAAGAAAAGTCTTTCACAAAGATAGCATGGGATTTTAGGACCATTGTTGTCAGCATTTGTGTTTAATCCGTTTCTTTTCAGACGCTCAGCTCTCATCCTTTCCGGATCATTGATTCCTTCAGTCTCATTCCCTTCCTGATATGCCCTTTCCACACAACATGGTCCATGGCATTTTGTTCCCATGAGTCCGCATCACTACCTGTATCATTCATGTCCCGCGTGCATACATCTTTATATCGTAGTAGAGGTCGGCTTCGTCATATTCTTTCTGTCTTTAATTCACCATAAAGGATTTCTTTAGGGACCATCCTTCATTCTCCTGTTGTGACCCAGCCACCTGAGCCTTTGTAGACTGAGCACAGAAAAGACTGATGTAGTACCTTCTCTTTCAAGTACTTCAGTGTTTTTGATTTTGTCCTGTCACTTAATGCCAAGTATTCTTCTTAAGCATCGCGTGTGAAAACTATTAGGCCGTCTCTCCTGGTGCAAATAGGTTGACCAAGTTTCACTGCCATAAAGCAGAGTGCTGAGAACACAAGCCTGATAGACTCGGGTTTTATTTTTAATTGTGAGCTTTCTGTTCTCCCAAACACTCTTTGTCAATCTGCTCATTGTTGTTGCTACCTAACCTATCCCGATGTTGATTTCCTGGTCCAGCGATAGTTTACAATTCACTTTGGAACCCAAATAGGTAAAATGGTCTACTGTCTCAAGCTCTTCACTGTCAATGAAGACTGTAGGTCTGTCATTGACACCTTGCACCAAAACCTTTGTCTTCTTTTTGCTGACTGTTACTCCAAATTCACAGCATGCATCAGCAAAAGTAGACAGTAAACACTGCAGCTCCACCTCTGAGTGGGTGAATATGGCGGCATCATCTGCAAACAGCAGCTCTCTGACAAGTACCTTTCTCATCCTGCTTTTGACCTTCAGCCTGCCAGCATTGTAAAGGCTGCCGTCAGATCGAGAATGAATGAATATACCACGCTCCTGATCTCGAAAGGCATGTGTAAAAAGAAGAGAAAAGTATATTCCAAAGAGGTTAGGAGCAAATACACACCCTGCTTCATTCCTTTTTTTTTATTTCAAACTCTTCCGATGTTACATCATCAAAGTTGGTTGTACCTTTCATACCTATGTGGAACGACTCAATAATGCTCAGTAGAGTAAGTGGACACCCAATCGTCTTCAGTTCTGTTGAACAGACCTTTTCGACTAACCAAATCAAATGCCTTGGTAAGATCAATAAAAGCAACATACAGTGGTTGATTTTGTTCGCGGCATTTGTCCTGCAACTGCCGTTATGAAAATATCATATCAGTGGTAGATTTGTTCCCACGAAAGCCACACTAGGACTCTGGGTAAACATGATCCACCAGGATGTGGAGTTTTCGCAGAACAATTCTCGCAAGCACTTTTGCAACAGTACACAGCAGTGATATTCCCTTGTAGTTACTGCAGTCATTCTGATCGCAAGTGTTATTGTACATAGTTATGATGTTTGCGTCTTTGAAATATTGCGGAACCTCTCCCTCTTGCTAGCGGAGTCGTTGTAGTAGTTCTTTAATTTCATTATTCCATCCTCTACTAGAATAGGCTCTTGCTTTCATTTTAATTGCATTCATGTGTTATATCTGCGTTGGTAGGTAAACTGGCTGCATTCTGATTGGATTCTGATCAGGTGGTAACCATAAATTATCAATGGAAGACTGCCTCTCAATGTCTCCGATCTCATAAATCGTATGTCCACCAATTGGAATATGACACAAAATGCAAATTTCAAGTCAATAACTTTACCCCTGCGGATTCGAAGGTTGTTAGTATAAATCTCAACTGAGCTAGACTTTTTACTTTAAAATAAAAAAAAAAAAAAACCTTCCCTCCCAGTTCAACACAGCCTTGAGTAGGTGCAAGCTAGAGTCATGGAAGATAAAAGCGTCCGGCGTAATTTTGACCATATCACCCACTGGGTGCCGATTAGTCTATAAAAAATAGGTCAAGACCTATAGGCTCAATACGCACGAAGATGGGGAAACTTTACTTCTACTAAAACTTTACTTTCCTGACTTAATCAGCAGTGTATAATGTCTGGTGTGCGAGTGGGTATATATATATATATATATATATATATATATATATATATATATATATATATATATATATATATGTGTGTGTGTGTGTGTGTGTGTGTGTGTATGTGTGTACCCACTCGCACACCAGACATCATATATATATATATATATATATATATATATATATATATATATATATATATATATATACGTTTACTATTCTCAGGTTGACTAAGAATGTGTACTTTGTCGCAGTTAACGGGCTCAAAGGTCCACCAGCGTATATTTGATCCAAGGAGTCGGAAATTGGGAGGGGTCGGGGAGGTGGTGGATATCAACGTGTCTGAGCTCTCATGTTGTGATGTCGCTGTCTACAGATATATGGAGTCGCTGGATTGATGTTTAAGATAAGCTGCCTTGAAGAAGCTCGTCTGCTAAAACACTTAAAAGTACTGCTTGACTAGTTAAATTAGGCGTGATTTCATCAACACTCTTAGGAAGCATTACACGAAGAACAATACTGTCACAAGCACTCTTAATCCAAAGGCACAGACACGACAAAATATTCAGTGGCATCAGCTCTGTTACATATCATCGGCTACCATGTCGCCTATTGGCTCGCAGGTAGATGAACTTCGTCGCCTGTCGAGACGGTGTTTGGGCCTGTCTTCATTAATCGTGTCAAACCGGCATGACTCCTTTTCAGAGGTCTCGGTGGCGTGCGATGCTAATAGCTAGTCACAATAATAACCTAAAGCTCCCTCTTCAGAGTTGCTGGTTGAGCGTTACGCATTTTTATGTGTGAGTGCAAAGCACTGGATTGGAAGCTCTGCTACATACGAAATCTTTGTGGAGTTGCCACAATGGCCTAATAAGACACAACCTCCTAACGCCTAATTCCCCTAAAACAATTTCTCCTGTTCTTCACCTATTACTACAATCAAGATTGTGAACTTACATTCCTTCCTTAGATTCAGTCGAGTCTTCATTCTCCTCGACGGGCTGCAGATCTAATCTTTCCAGCTTTGCAGATGCATAAATGATATGAGAACAAAGGTTAGGGTTGATATTTTCAGGTAGAAATTTCCCCTTTCCCTTTCGGAACTGAGACCAGTTTGTGAAATAACAAATAGTTCTGTAGTAATCTGAAACTGTAAATGTCATAAATTATGAAAGTGTTGTTTGTGATCTCATAATCAAGTATTCAGCTACATTTGGCTGCAAACCATGTCATGAAACTAGACAAATCACCTGAGATATACTTACACAGATAACTTAATCTTGTTCGTCTGGCTTGAAACATTTTCCATCGTATGAGTACAATTTCTTTTCTTTTGACTGAACTTACTTGCTCTTTACTTTTTGTTTTGTTTTTTAATCACCATCGCCATGTCGTTGTGTCTGTATATGTTACAAAGGGTATGACGTTTATTCCACGATTCGGTTTTATCCTGTGCTGTCTCTTCGAAATCATAGATTAGATGCAGTTAATCATCGATGACCTGTCTCATCAACTTTCGTTTTAGGATTTCTATTGGACGTCATTGTTTCCTCGCATCAATGTGTTTCCCAGTGTAGTGCCTGTTTTCTGCTCGCTTCTTCTCAGCATGTGTCCAGTACATCATTATCTTCTTTGTTTTATAAAAGGTTACATGAGTGGTTGTCCAGACATTTTTCTTATTTCTTTACCTCTCTTTTTTTCTCCCCACTTAATGTCCATTGATTAGATTATACACTAGCTGATTAACGTTTCTGTATTCTTTATGTCGAATTATTACATAAATATAACTAATTCTGTCCTAATTGATACTATAAAGTCTTATGTAATAAAACTATAATTTTCAGTTCCATAGGACTATAACAATTGTTGCTTAAAGGTACACACATTATGTATGTTCAAGTGTTGAAGTGACAAGTAACTGGGACTGAAAGCAAAGTGCAATCCAAAGCGACAGAAGAATATGTCGCAGCCATCTTTCTTTGAGGAGAATACACATTATTTATTTACTCCAGTTCCTCATCGAAGTGCAGAGGAAGGGGATGTAGATACATATATTTGCTCGTTCTGATGCATCTTATGAACTTATCTTCATTTTTTAAAGAAGGTTCTTGATGTCTTGGTTACATTGTTTTTGTGACCGTCCCTCTGCTTTCTGTTGATTATATGTCTTCTACGTGACTCTCTGGTGTATTTGGTAACAGGGCCCTTTTATCGCATGGTCAACCCATCTCATGTGTTGCTGTTTTGTGAATGTGATGCCTGCCGTTTTCTAGTACAATAGGGCACTCTCACTGGAACATTAGTTCAAGTGTCTAACTTATAATTACCATCCCTCTTTATCTGTGTATGCTCAAAGCCACAGATTATAGGTGAATTCAAAGAACAAGATCGCTGACTACTTTTGCAGAAATATAGTTTGGAAAACTCAATACACGTTTGTTTTTCTTCTTAAAGTCCATACCATGTAGCGCTCGATCGCGAGCAGGCCTGTAGCCAGTGACTCGTGTATTCGCCGGACCTCCGCTATATCAGATAACTCCGATTCGTAAACGCGACCGAGGCTCTTCACCGGTTCCTCCACAATCGCGGGGATCTTGTTCCTTGCCACCGTAAAACTGATTGCCGACACCTTGCCCTTATGGATTGACAGACTCCTCGACTTCTGCGGTTTGAACTGCATACCGCTCCATTGGACCACCGCGTCCAATCCTTTCAGGATCGTGCGGGCAGACTGCTCGCTGCCCGTTATTATAGTCGTGTTATCCATAAATGCGCGTAGTGGCGGCAACCAGTGATCCTCTATTTGAAGGCCCAATCCGTAGCCGGCCGCCCCGTCTAACATGATCTGCATTGCCATGACAAACAGTATCGGAGGTGGGCCCACCTGAGTTCATGACGCTCAGGGCTGGTTCCCCGCTGCACGGAATTACCGGATGGTGTTATACTTTCGGCCAGAGACAAGACGACTTGGTGGTTTCGAAGGAGGTACTGTGAGATAAGAAGCCGCCGCCGCGACAGCGTAATTAAAACAGTCCGCATGCCTGGACGACCGAGCGACAAGCTTACTTTGGTTTACCGGACACATGTTGGACTTTTATTAGCAGTTGGCAGAGGGACACTGGCAGACAATTCGTACACGATGGACTTTTCAAAGGAATGAGAAACTCTTTTCCACTAGATACCCGGACCAGCTCACCGAGGCCCGTCCCCTACGTTGTTGCGCAGCGTCCAAAGCCAGCTAGAGGCCCTTTCGGCCACCTCTCCCAGTTTTTTTTTGAGTGTTCGTTTCCGTTCATTACCGCGCAATCCTAGTTCTTTCACCACATTGTAGAGCGAAGTGGAAACGAGGCCTCTCGCTCCCACTTCGACGGCAAAAACCCGCACTGTGTAAGCCTCGTTTCTCCTCAAACCGGCTGCTAAATCACTGTACTTCTCGAGCTTGTACAAATGATTCTCCTCCATACGCGACTCAAACGGGACCGTCAACTCAATCAGGATGAGCTGCCGTTTTTGCGCAGAATGGAGAACGATGTCCGGTCGCAGGCCGGTTTTACGGATCAACTCGGGATACCGTTCATGGCCTGGCAGATCAACCGCCAGTAACCAGTCCCTCGCAGAGTCTAGCACAGATGGAGCGAATGCGTTTTTGTTGACCTTACCAATTGGAACCTGCCCAGCCTTGAGGAAACGAATGGGGGCGATACTAGAACTGGCTCTGGCATTAGCCCTCATTCTAGCCTGGTCGACAACGGCTGCTAACTCCTTTAGCACCTTGTTGTGGCGCCAGGTATATCGGCCTTGACCTAGAGCTTTCCTGCACGCGGACAGGACGTGCTCAAGAGTTTGCTTCGATTTGCACAACGGGCAAGTCGGATCGTTGGTCGCAGACCATTTAACCATGTTAACACCGGACGGTAATACATCGTACGCCGAACGAACGATAAAGCTCAGTCGCAGCGGGGTCATCCGCCAGATCTCACCCCATGTGAGTATTCTCGGCAATGCGCTCTCCAGGCTGACCCAATGGCCCTGCTGCGACTGCTGGGCTGCTTTCTGGACCCGAACCTCGTTTTCGTTGTCCCTCACCGTTTGTATTACCATGTCTCGGCGCTCTTTGGCTGAGGCCTTTGACCACCAATTGACTTTCCCGTGCCCTAGGCCTCGACGGTCGGTTTGTGTGTAACCCATTATCTCCTTCAATTTTAGTGCGTTCTGAGCAGATTCTATCGCATCGAGGACTCTCCACTTGGTTCCAGTCTTTAGAGCGGGCTGGACAGCGGTGACATTTGGGTCTGAAGACTCGCGCAGAAGCATGGCGAGTCTTACCTTGCCGACTTTAAACTCTTCGGTTATCGATTTGAACGGAAGTACCAGCTTAGCCTGTTTACAATACAGAGCCACGTCGGTCAGACAAGGCGGTGCACCAATCCACTTTCTCAAGGCTGTGTTGATTTTCTTTTCCATGGTTTCCACTGCAGTCATCGTCACCTCGTAGACTGTAGTGGCCATAGGAGCTTCGGAATCAACATGAATTGGAGACACCATACCTTGAATTTTCCGATCAGCCTGCATCGCTCGATCGCGAGCAGGCCTGTAGCCAGTGACTCATGTATTCGCCGGACTTCCGCTCTGTCAGATAACTTCGAATCGTAAACGCGACCGAGACTCTTCACCGGTTCCTCCAGAACCGTGGGGATCTTGTTCCTTGCCACCGTAAAACTGGTTGCCACCACTCGACCCTTATTGATTGACAGACTCCTCGACTTCTGCGGTTTGAACTGCATACCGCTCCATTGGACCACCGCGTCCAATCTTTCCAGGATCGTGCGGGCAGACTCCTCGCTGCCCGTTATAATAGTCGTGTCATCCATAAAGGCACGTAATGGTGGCATCCAGTGGTCCCCAATTTGAAGGCCCTGTCCGTAGCCGGCCGCCCCGTCTAACATGATCTGCATTGCCATGACAAACAGTATGGGTGAGATCGTACAGCCCATAGCTATCCCAATCTGCAACTCAGTCCACCTCGTGGTAAACGTCGAGGTAGAGAAGCGCAAAGCGAACTTGGAGAAATATTGCTCGACCATTTGACTGATCTGTGCCGGTACGTGAAACATGCGAAGGGCTCGCCACAGTAGCCTATGGGGGACTGCCCCGTAGGCGTTGGCTAAGTCCAACCATATAACGTGCAATTGAGTTCTCTCATGCTTGGCTCTCTGGATAGCCTCCCAAATCATGGTCGCGTGTTCAAGGCACCCAGGAACGCCTGGAATGCCACCCTTCTGAACACTCGTATCTATGTACTTGTTAGTCATCAGATACTGTGTGAGCCGGCGAGCCATGACTGAGAAGAATATCTTACCCTCGACATTCAACAGCGAGATGGGCCTGAATTGGGAAAGACTCTTCGAGTCCTGCTCTTTGGGAATGTAGACCCCATTTGCCTTTGACCACTCTGGACATATGTGGTTGCGGATCCACGCTTGTCTCAACAAGACGTGAAGCATTTTTCAGGATTTTCGGGCAACGCTTGTAAAAAACGTACGGAACACCGTTCGGACCTGGGGCAGACTTGCCGCTGGCCTTTTTCACAACGTCCTCAACCTCAGACCAAAGGGGAGGTACCATTTTAAATGGTACCTTCGGCACCGAAGGCTGTTTAAGACCGCTAAGGATCTCTGGATTGTCATCGAGAGGCTCTCTCCTCTTTTTATCAGAGTACATCTTGCGTAGATGTAGCTCTAGTTCTTCCTGACTGACAACCAGAGTCCCAGACTTCGGTTGCTCGAATAGACCTCGGGCAAACTGATACGGGTCCCTAAAGAATTTCTCTCGCTCCCTTTTGGTTCTACGTCTGTTGTTACAGAAACGCTCGGCACGACAGAGGGCACTGTGTTTGTTCTTTAAATGCAACCAAACTTCGTACAGCCCCTCCCGTTCGCTGCCTGTAGCGGCTTTGAACCGTTTTTTGAGGGCATTCTTGTCTGCCCGACACTTCAGAATGTCCCTCTGCCTCCTGCTAGTATTCTGCTTGGCACCCGGCTGTGCCTTTACTACTGTCCCGAACTCGCGGGAGCAGTGTTCATATATTACATCACCAAATTTAGTAAGCTTGTCGCCTAGCGACTTCTTGTTTAGAGTTTGTTTAAGTACCTCACATAATGTAGCCTCCAACTTACACCACACCACCTTCTCGCTCGCAGGTGGAAACCTGATTCTTGGAACGCACTTCTTCAGAAATCATCAAAAGGTGCTCCTCCGCAGTCGACGTCATGGGCCTCTCCGGGCGAGTGGGGTTCACCCTGCCCGTCGTACCCTGACGACTCAGAAACTACCACAGGAGTGGTAGTTTTGCGACGGCGTTTACTGCGTGGAGCACCCTCGCATTTCATTCTTCCGGCATGCGTTCTCAGACCATGCAACCCCGTGAAGCTTTTCCCACATGTACAGAGCCAGCCCGGACGTTGGGCGAGTATCTCAGTCCGGGGGCTAGCAAGGTCGTCACCGAAGGTATCAATTGGATTGGGCCCTTCATTTCCCCCCCCCCTTTCGGAGGGCCCTGGGGGCATATTTCATTGTGGTCGTACGAAATCGGAGGTATTATACTGTGTTAGGGGTGATCAACCCGGTCCACAGTCGACATCTGTCTCCAGATGTCAGTTTATCCCCCCGGCGATACCGGGGGGCCAGTCTTTCCATAGGTGTCAAAAGGACTTTCCCGATAGTCACCAGTCTTTCCTGGTAGTCTTGTGGGCTAGCCACGTACAATAGGAATAAACTCACAGGGAGCAAGTACAGCGGGGATCTACCAGTCGTCAGTAGAAATTATCCTCGTCGACACACGTTTCGGCCCACGATTCCTAGACGTATTCGGAGGTGGGCCCACCTGAGTTCATAACGCTCAGGGCTGGTTCCCCGCTGCACGGAATTACCGGATGGTGTTATACTTTCGGCCAGAGACAAGACGACTTGGTGGTTTCGAAGGAGGTACTGTGAGATAAGAAGCCGCCGCGACAGCGTAATTAAAACAGTCCGCATGCCTGGACGACCGAGCGACAAGCTTACTTTGGTTTACCGGACACATGTTGGACTTTTATTAGCAGTTGGCAGAGGGACACTGGCAGACAGTTCGTACACGATGGACTTTCAAAGGGATGAGAAACTCTTTTCCGCTAGACACCCGGACCAGCTCACCGAGGCCCGTCCCCTACGTTGTTGCGCTGCGTCCAAAGCCAGCTAGAGGCCCTTTCGGCCACCTCTCCCAGTTTTTTAAGTGTTCGTTTCCGTTCATTACCGCGCAATCCTAGTTCTTTCACCACATTGTAGAGCGAAGTGGAAACGAGGCCTCTCGCTCCCACTTCGACGGCAAAAACCCGTACTGTGTAAGCCTCGTTTCTCCTCAAACCGGCTGCTAAATCACTGTACTTCTCGAGCTTGTACAAATGATTCTCCTCCATACGCGACTCAAACGGGACCGTCAACTCAATCAGGATGAGCTGCCGTTTTTGCGCAGAATGGAGAACGATGTCCGGTCGCAGGCCGGTTTTACGGATCAACTCGGGATACCGTTCATGGCCTGGCAGATCAACCGCCAGTAACCAGTCCCTCGCAGAGTCTAGCACAGATGGAGCGAATGCGTTTTTGTTGACCTTACCAATTGGAACCTGCCCAGCCTTGAGGAAACGAATGGGGGCGATACTAGAACTGGCTCTGGCATTAGCCCTCATTCTAGCCTGGTCGACAACGGCTGCTAACTCCTTTAGCACCTTGTTGTGGCGCCAGGTATATCGGCCTTGACCTAGAGCTTTCCTGCACGCGGACAGGACGTGCTCAAGAGTTTGCTTCGATTTGCACAACGGGCAAGTCGGATCGTTGGTCGCAGACCATTTAACCATGTTAACACCGGACGGTAATACATCGTACGCCGAACGAACGATAAAGCTCAGTCGCAGCGGGGTCATCCGCCAGATCTCACCCCATGTGAGTATTCTCGGCAATGCGCTCTCCAGGCTGACCCAATGGCCCTGCTGCGACTGCTGGGCTGCTTTCTGGACCCGAACCTCGTTTTCGTTGTCCCTCACCGTTTGTATTACCATGTCTCGGCGCTCTTTGGCTGAGGCCTTTGACCACCAATTGACTTTCCCGTGCCCTAGGCCTCGACGGTCGGTTTGTGTGTAACCCATTATCTCCTTCAATTTTAGTGCGTTTTGAGCAGATTCTATCGCATCGAGGACTCTCCACTTGGTTCCAGTCTTTAGAGCGGGCTGGACAGCGGTGACATTTGGGTCTGAAGACTCGCGCAGAAGCATGGCGAGTCTTACCTTGCCGACTTTAAACTCTTCGGTTATCGACTTGAACGGAAGTACCAGCTTAGCCTGTTTACAAAACAGAGCCACGTCGGTCAGAAAAGGCGGTGCACCAATCCACTTTCTCAAGGCTGTGTTGATTTTCTTTTCCATGGTTTCCACTGCAGTCATCGTCACTTCGTAGACTAGTAGTGGCCATAGGAGCTTCGGAATCAACATGAATTGGAGACACCATACCTTGAATTTTCCGATCAGCCTGCATCGCTCGATCGCGAGCAGGCCTGTAGCCAGTGACTCATGTATTCGGTGGTGTTTTTCTTTCGGCCAGAGACAAGACGAATTGGTGGTTGCAGAAGGTACTATGTCTAGCGTGTCGATACGGTTATTGTTCTTCACCCTTCCCAAGCTCCCTTGCTCATTACTTTATGAGACTAATATTATATACATGAGGCATAATTAATTTTCTTAAAATCTCAACATCACTCACGCTGAGCTTATCTGTATTTGTCTGTCTGTCTGTCTGTCTGTCTGTCTGTCTGTGTGTCTCTCTCTCTCTAATATTGTCAAACAATTAATTTTAGTATTATTCTAATATCTTCATCTTTAATTTGATTTCCTTGTGTTATTCCTGGGGGCCGACGTGGCGTAGCGGCTAGACGCTCGCCCGCGGATCCGAATGTCGTGTGTTTAGGTCTTAAAGACGGACTGTGTTTCAAAAGTGATCATGGCCCCGAAGTGGATTCAGTCGTAAAAGGATACCAGGTAAAATCCTGGGAAGTTGATGCGACAGGCCGATCAACCACCTAGCTTTGATTGGTCTATTATATATATAATACTTTTGAAACACTGTCCGTCAATAAGACCTAAACACACGAGATTCGGATCCGCGGGCGAGCGTTTAGCCTCTACGCCACGTCGGCGTATATATATATATATATATATATATATATATATATATATATATATATATATATATATATATATATAAATCTAGTCCTGTATGCTTACAAGTGGGGAAAGGGTCCTTTACATTCTTACCGCTCCAGTAACTTTCTTGAGTCATAAATCTGTTGAGAAGAATGGTTCTCGTGACTGACCGATCAGTTATTTGTGTTTTTCGTGGCATCATTATTTAAGTGCTGTCATAATAGACACTGGCAGTCGCCGTTGCCGAGCGGCTAGACGCTCCCCGCGGATCGGACGGTCGTGGGTTCGCTCCCTGACGGAGCCGGACTATTTTCAAAAATGACTTTGGCTCCCAGGTAGACCCAGCCTTGCGTGGGTACCGGATGCAGTCCCGGAAAAGTAAAGGCGGCCGGTGTGATGCTGACCATATCACCCATCCTGTGCCGATTGGTCCATAAAAATATAGGTCTAGCCCTATATGCCCTATACAAGCCTGCAGGCGTGGAAAAGGGTCCATTATTTACATTTTACTTACAATAGACACTGTATGGTGAGTACCAGCACCTGTGGTTTAGTTAAGACATTTAGTAGTTTGTACTTGCACTTTTTATTCTCCTCGAAAGAAAATGAAAGCCCTGGTGCTATTAGAAATTACCTGGCGCCTCTGTTATTGTTTCAGGACGTGGAGTCGTACTAGTAGTACCGCGCCGTTTGGTTGTAATTGGTTCATCTTCTCTGCAGTTAAAGTAAATAAAAGTCAAATTAACCACCATCTACTGGATGTGCTTGTTACTTTATGTTGTCAGATTGGTTATATTTGTTGGATCAGTGACATCTACTCCGCATTCAAAGTTTAAAAAAAAAAACAAAATTATTCTCTCGCTCCTATTCATTTCTTACTTTATGTTTTCACATTAGGTTATGTTTGCTGGATCTGTAGCATCTTCTCTGCATTTAAAATTTAAAAAAATTTTTTTTAATTAACCCCCTCACCCATTTGTACTTATTACTTTATGGTATTACAATGGCTTTCATTTGTTGAATCTGTAGCATCGTCTTTGTAGTAGAAGTAGATCTTCTTCTACATCTGAGTAGGGCTCACCGGCTGTAAACTCTGGCAGAAAGTTCTGGTTGTTTATCCACATCTGGTCATTAGTTTTTTTTTAAACTTGAGTTGTTGGTAAACATTCATTTTACATATTTGGCGTATCGGTAGGAAGACTGTTAGTTTCACGTCTCTGAGAAAGATGCATCCTAACTTCGAAGGAAACCCTTCTAATTAGTTTACTTTTACGACATGCTTGCTGGAGGCAGTGGGTCTTTTCATGTTTTCCACAATGGAGACCGGGAACTCACACACAAGATGTATATGGAAGTGCAATTATCTCGTCGATCATACACAGTCAGCTGATTACATGATTTTACTGCCTCCAGTGTGAGTATTCTAGAGGCTGCAGTTTATTTCAGCTGACCATGGTTCAATCTGTTCATTACTATTCAGTGTCTCTTAGAACTCTCGAAGTACTATATGTACCATTTGAACTTTGATAAAAGAATAAGGGGGCAAACTTAAAACCTGATGGTATCAAACGAAAAAAGCTTGAATGGAGAAAATGAAATAAGACCAAGACAATAATTATCTGATACAGAGATGAGTTATAGTAACAATTTGGTTATGGAGAGAGAGTGCGAAGAGAGAGAGAGAGGGAGAAACAGAGAGAGAGAGAAAGAGAGAGAGAGTGAAGAGTCATCATAGAGATAGACAGACTGGCAAGAGAGAGAGAGAGAGAGAGACAGAGACAAAGAGAGAGAGGTGGGGGGGGGGGTGGTTGGATAGACAGATACACAGAAAGACAGTCATACGTGCATATGCACCGACATAACGTACACTCACAAACATCTATACACTTGGTTAGAAGAATAAACCCAAGACTTCACCCTCTGAAGGTAAGGAGATTGTCTAGTAGAAATGTGTTGTTCGGTTCACGAGTGTAACTTTTACGGAGATCCTAAGAGATCATATCTTGCTCTAATGTTCGGTTCACGAGTGTAACTTTTACGGAGATCCTAAGAGATCATCTCTTGCACTAATGTTCGGTTCACGAGTGTAACTTTTACGGAGATCCTAAGAGATCATCTCTTGCTCGAATGTTCGGTTCACGAGTGTAACTTTTACGGAGATCCTAAGAGTTCATCTCTTGCTCGAATGTTCGGTTTACGAGTGTAACTTTTACGGAGATCCTAAGAGATCATCTCTTGCTCGAATGTTCGGTTCACGAGTGTAACTTTTACGGAGATCCTAAGAGATCATCTCTTGCTCTAATGTTCGGTTTACGAGTGTAACTTTTACGGAGATCCTAAGAGATCATCTCTTGCACTAATGTTCGGTTCACGAGTGTAACTTTTACGGAGATCCTAAGAGATCATCTCTTGCTCTAATGTTCTGTTGGAGCTTTTCTGCACTCGTTCTAAACAACACATCTCCTGCAAAGTGAGATCGAGTAATAAAACGCAGTACAATTTTGTTGATTATCTGGACTTATCCCCTTATACACACAAAAACATAGACAAAAACATACACACTCAAACACACACACACATGTATGTATTCATAGACACCTAGTAGGCAACCGAGAGTCGCTCGGGACTATGGAGTTGTGCTGCTGGTTTTGAGAATGCCGACTAACTGTCGATTCCCGTGTTTTGTCGAGGTTGCTAACTTTTTCAGTCCCAAGTAACGTCTGATGTTTTAGAAATGTTTCTTAATTTCCCTTCACTGCACAATATATTCTCTTAACGTTAACATTTAGTCAGTTCATATTACAGAAATATGGCTTCGCCAATGGAATTACTAATGTGTGTGTATGTGTGTGTGTTTGTTTGTGTGAGTGTGTGTATGTGTCTACTGCCACTTTGGAAGTAAAACATTCATGATTTTGTATCCTAGTTATGTCTTTACATTGGCATCCCATGTGTAGACTTCTGGTACTGAATGAGTTAGGTCACGCTGGTGTTGCCTCTCCAGGGAACAGGCCTATGAATGCTGAACTAGAGTACTGGCTGTTGCTCAGGCAGCAAGTACCTCTCTCTCTATGACGCCGATGATAGTAAGGGAAGGGCAAGTACCGATACCGCTTGGCCGCGAAAATATAGAAACATAGAATATAACAAACTACTCACTCTTCCTCACACTCTGACGACGGGTCATTGATAGCTTCGTGTGCTGCCTTCAGAAGTGGGTCTACTCCTTGTTTGCACTCAGTGTCCTCAAAATCATCGAGATCTGAACTCCAGATGAGAATGCCTCCATATCCATTCTGAGCGGCATAGCAAGCCTGTGAAAAATAAGTTCTTAGGAGTATTTGATTGCCAGTGTTTTGTACAATGTTACGAGAAAGGAAGACTGTTTAAAAAGCATAGCTAAGTGAAGGCAAAGAGATAAATACATGGATGGTGGGCTGTATCGTTGTCCGCGACAAGACTACGACATGAGTACTGTAAAGACGGTATTTTCCCAAAGGGATTTCCTAAATGGCGATACAAGAGTAAACATGAGATAACAGAGAAATACATATGAATCTGAATACTTGTAGAAACATGAGATATGCAAACAGTGTTCAAGCCAGCATGTGAAGCACAGGAAGAGGTGTATAGGGTTAGTCGAAGAGCTAATCAGTTAGTATGTGTTTGGCAGCGGGTGTGAAACGTCGTGTTTTAGGGAAGAGGGAATGTGACATTGTGTAACTGATGACGTGAAGGGGATTCTATTCCATGAGATGACAGCCTAACCAGAAGTTGTAGATGATGATATCCAACAGGCCAGGGAGTCTAACAGATTCTGTATCAACGATTGTGTGTATCGCGTGTGCAATGAAACAGGACTAAAAGGTAAAGAGATGGATGGTAGTAGACTTCGATTTTTTACTTGATAAATGTCATAATCTCTTGCTCGACCGTGCTAGCCAGAAGTAGACATTGACTGAACCAGATTACCTTTGGAAGTTGAAAAAACGATGTAAGGGGAGATATTTTCTACTAGTTACCATCTGTGTACAATCAGAATGTGATAGATATGAAAAACCCCTAGCAACCAGCTAGCAGACAGAGGTGACAATATCTCAGGTACTGACTTGATCGTTGAAGCTGCGGATCGTGTGAAATGGCTAATTGTGACCTCCTACGTTTACCAGCAGCGCATACGATTATGATAAATTGATTATTTTAAAACATGAACGATTTGTTAATCTATTCATTTACAGTTTGTTTGTGGTTGTGTATGTGTGTCGGTGCCAGTGTGTTTTTGCATGAGAGAGAGAGAGAGAGAGAGAGAGAGAGGGAGAGAGGAGAGAGAGAGAGAGAGAGAGAGAGAGAGAGAGAGAGAGAGAGAGAGAGAGAGAGATTTAGTCTTCGTCCCGTTAGCCTCAGAAATCTTAAAATTCCGAATTCGGTTGCACCCAAGTCTTCGGTTTCCCAGAGCTGGTGTTTCAGAACGTCATATGGTAATTCGTTACATAGCGCGTTTGCACCGACTGCTCCAGGGCATAGTTCATTAATAGATCATCAGCGATATTGATATGGGTTAAAATTAGTACTCATGTATGATCATGAAAAACACCAGAATTCCCCCTTAGCTGTATGATCTGTGATTGTGGGAGTGGGAAGGGAGGGGAGGGGGCTGGGAGTTGAAGGTGGGGTCTTGGTCTCGTCTAATCAACTATCTCATGTCGAATATGCACTTACTCTAAATTCCGAATTACTACCTTTGTTATACCACTTTTGAGTTGTAGGCAGGGGTGTCTTTGACCCTGAGGATTTACGGCCACGTGGCTAGTGCTGTCGCCACGACTGTGCAGGTGAGGATTTATTTTTCCCCCCGACAGAAAAAAATCTCCAGCCTTACAGAGGGTTTGAACCCAGGTGTCCCGCTTGAGAGCCCAAGGTTCCAACTGTTCGACAGGCCGCTCCTCTGTACTTACGCTAAACCGAACAGAATAAATTTTTCTAGAAGGTGAAGATATCGGTGAGCTGGGTTAAAGGTAAGGGTTATGTGATTTACAAATCATGTGATGTGATATTTTACAGTACATAATGTAAGCATATCTTACAACTGCATTTTTACTGTGCACGAGAATTCTTCGTAATTTTTCTGCGATCAACATGTTTGTCCACTAAGTTTTCAAATATAACAGTGAAGGCCATTGTGTGTTATTTTCACTGTCACAGGAAAGGGGCAGTTAGGGGGCCGACCCGTCTGCCGTTGTGTCGGAACCTCCACCGATAAGTCACATACAACAGATTTTTTGTTTTTTAGGTTTTAACAATGGATTAACATCATGGCACATGGATAGTAACCCATAAGTGCTCCGTTCTACTTCTGACTCAAGACTGAGTCCACAGTTATCAGCGCAGCACCGACGAGGATCCTGAAATACCTTCTGGGTAGATTTTTAACTCCATATTTTGCCCGATCAACGCCTTTAAGCTAATTTTTTTCGATTTCCAGCTGCCAAGAGATTTTTAACACACGGGCGTTCGATCTTACTACTCAGAGACCATGGAACATTACTAGAAGTCCATGTGAAAAATGCCAGGCTTCACCGGGGCCTGAACTTGAGCCCTCCAGCACTCGAGGCGGACGCCATGCCTTGAGACCACCCAGCTCCCAAAAAGGAAAGTAATAGCAGTGTATATTGCTCTGTGTATTGCCTAGCATAACTTTATAAATAGACATCAAATCAAATGGTTTTGCCATGTATTAAATCAGCATCAGACAAGGCACCATTGAGAGCCATGTTATACAAATACAACGGTAACAAAGCCAGAGGTAGATCACGCAGAACATGGACCCCAGTAATATCAGAGACACTGAAAAGTACTTTATATGAATTGAAAAGAAGGGCCCGTTTCATAAATTTCTTCTTGTTCTGACACTGGGAGGCCGTTCAAGAGCAGAAAAAAGAAGATTTCCTAGCATATTTTTGTGTATCTTATCAGCTTAAAATGTCCCGAATTGTCTGTCAAGCAATTGCGCAATGCATTTTTTAAATTTAATTATTTTAATTCGCAAAATTTTACTTTTTTGTTCAATAACGTCATTAGATTTCTAATCTTCGAAAAGATAGAACAACTTTGTTGGCGATGTAATGAAAATGTTTAGCCTGTAAATTGCTTGGTAACTGAGTAGTCATGCTGCCTTTCTGTACAGAATGTAATAATCAGCACTCTTCCGAAAAACGGACGTAAATTATAAAGGTTAAGAACACACCTCAAAGGGTCATCTGATATAAATATTACAAGCTAGGAACATTTCTGTGTGTTTGGTCGTAAGAGGGCCTCAGCAGGTCATCTAGTACAACGACTGAAAACTGGAAAATAAAATATAATGAACCCTAACCCCAACCCCATCCTTAACCCTAAGGCAAAGAACATCTACAACTTTCACGTTATCAATCGGTAGAACATTATTGTGTCGAAGGTATGCCTACCGTAGTTACCGGAAATGAATCCCAATTTTACGTAATATTGAAGCCCTGTTAGGGAATGTTATTTGGAAAAATGCCTAATAATCTATGTTAATTCGATCTATCTCCCCAATGTCACAATGAAAATAATTTCTCCAAAACTGTGTATGTTTCTTGTCAGTCAAAAAGATTAGTGAGTGAGTGAGAGAGATAGTGAGTGAGTTAGTTAATTAGTCAGTCAGTCGGAATTCTTCCTTTATGACAAAAGGGTAACCTATAACCTCTCCATGCCTTAGCCAACTGAGGAAAATCCACACATAATGCACAAGACAATCATTTATGGGAAAACTGAAACAGACTGCAGTCTAGGCAAAGCCAACAACATACACACGACTTACTAGCATAAGACTGTCTTACTGTGCTATGCCATAGATACCGAAGTGTCGAAAGATTTAGTGTTGCAGGAGAAGATCGACGCCCACCTTCTGAAATTTTCTAAGAGGTAATGGGCCTAAACAATTGTCGATAGGGGATCTTCTACTGATGATCGTTGGACTCCTGCTGTATATGATCCCCTGACGAGTTCTTATTCTCGGTCAGCCTATGGATCATGCTGATATTATTAATGTCCTCAGAGAAATGGGAAGGATAGTGGACTTTGGGGGCAGTGAATCCACATCACTCGCCAGAATGGCAGACTTGGGAATTAAGATCGGCATAGCAAAAAACAAGGACGCACACCAGACACATCAGAAGACTTGTCAATCAACATAGAACTGGTACTATTATCCATCGGACGTTGGCGTTCTTACTGAAGGGAGGATCTGAGCACCTATGGATATGTCCGGAGTGCAATGATGATAACCCAACTAACTAACTAACTAACTAACTAACTAACTAACTAACTAACTAACTAACTAACTAACTAACTAACTAACTAACTAACTAACTAACTAACTAACTAACTAACTAACTAACTAACTAACTAACTAATTAACTAACTAACTAACTAATTAACTAACTAACTAACTAACTAACTAACTAACTAACTAACTAACAGCTAGCTAGCTAACTAACTAACTAACTAACTAACTAACTAACTAACTAACTAACTGACTTCTTATTCTTTTTTGTTTAACAGAAACATGTTCAGCTACAATTAACACAGATTACAGTCCTGGACATGACATATGTACCTTGGCATTAACGCTCTCAACACCTTCAAAACCCACCCACTGGCCGTCTTGCACAGCGTAATAATTCCTTTGAGAAGCAACTTTAATCACCTCCGATTCTCCCATTATGTTACATACCTGTAATAGTGTTGCAATTAGCAAGAGTGTACAATCATGAACCACTACTGGCGCCAATTAGCATTATCTCATTCCAAGTCGTCAGCGGCTTCTTTGACCCCCCACCTCCCCCACCCTTTTCACGACAGGCCTGAAACGCCTCTTTCTAAAACCTCTTCTCCCGGCTTGTGTGATTTCATATCCACTGTATCATCAGTGTCTTGTATCCATCTTCGAGGAGGTTTAAGTTTCTCTAAAAGAGAAACCATAGGGTGGGATGGGGGAGGGAAGAGTTCTATTAAAGGGACATCGTCAGAAAAGATTATTGGGAAAAGAGAGGGGATGGGTTAGGATGGGAGCTCTCAGCCTCTTCACGATTTTCTAGACGGGAGGGCCGGCTCATGGGCCTAAGCCCTCCTTTCTAATAATTTGACAATAATAATATTAATTATAATAATAATAATGATGGCAACTGCATATAAAACTATCCTTGAAATTAACAAAAACGTACAAGAGCACTTATGTACACTCTTGGGGGTTGGAGGAGAAGTGGGGTTGGGGAAGGGGGTTGTTTGCTTAGCTAAGCCTCTTTAGATGGGGGGGGGGGGGCGTGGGCTAGAGTGTGAAGGTGGGAGCAGGATGTTCTGATAGTTCTAGGCCCCTGGCTTCGGTGCCGATGATTTTAAGGAGAGGCTACTGGATTAAGTCACTAGTGTATATCCACTTTTGCATTTTGCCTCTGACGATGCTCGATGTACCGGAATTGTTGTATTATAGTGAAAATTTCAAGAGTAAACAAACGACAGATGTGTGTGTCAAAACAATTTCGACAAGAAACGGTTAGCTGATGATATATGCAGCAAAGAGCGTTGCACTTCTCACACGGAACTAATCTCAAGAAGTTTGTAAAAGTTACCAGAAATATATCGTACTGCCACTGAACACACACACACACACACACACACACACACACACACGCACACACAAAAACACACACACACACACTGTGCACATTCATACACACACAAATGTATATACACACACACACACATATATATATATATATATATATATATATATATATATATATATATATATATATATATATACACACACACATAAACGCAGCCACACAAAATGCTTCACATAAAGCAGATTATCATCATCATCATCGTCACGTGCCGTGTCGACTGATGTAGGCGTTCATGCATCTCCACAGATCTCGGTCGCTTGTCATCTGGATCAGTTTGACCGATTATATCCCTCCGTGCCACTCCGTCATCATCTCTCTCGGTCTGTCTCTCCCTCTTCTACCGTTGGAGCCCCCCCCCCCCCTCCCCCCTAAACATTTGTTTTATTGCATCCAGCACCCCACTCCCTCCAAATCCCCTCACAATTACGTGACCAAAGAACACTGCTTTTTTTTTTTTTTTTTGTAAAGCTGACAGGAAAATTAACTGAACGTGTAATGATTGTATTAAATTTGTCCTGTTATTTTGTTTATTGATACAGATTTTGGTCGAGACGTTCACTTGTTGCTGTGAGTATTTCTATTCGCTGATTATTCTGGTTCCGTGTGTGCGTGAGTTCAATTATCCTTAGAGCATCGAGGTCTAACTATTTTCCACGCCTTTCAGGCTTATTGAGTATCTAAGGCTAGACCAATGTCGTCTTTAATTGTGCCTCACAACTAAATGACCCACTTTTTGAAAGGAGTCCCTCAGAAACTGGTTACTGGAAAACCGTTCCATGTGTTGCATCGTGTAACATTTTAATGAGCTTACAAAGTTCTGTGTTCTGAACGTATTCGTATTACAAATCGACAAGCGGATATTTTGAAGTGGATATACATGATAATGCTTTCATACTGACTGTGCATTAATAGTGCAACTACACTGTGGATAAATAGTGTCAAGATATTTCGGAGCTCTGGATAAGTGGATGAAAATTATATTTAATTATTTTTACTAACGAACTCTCACCGCAAGTCACTCTTTGCCTCTTTACTAATTGCTGACTAACACTATAATTATATGTTGTAGAAGTACACTAACAATATTAATCCTCAACCATTTGTCTTATGCTTCGTTAACACTGGCTGTAAATTTCTTGCAAAAACTTATGGTTGTTCATCTACTCCTTAAGCAAATTTGCAGTTGTACGGTCTGTGTTAATTTTTTGTAAATTGGCTTTTGTAAATTGGCTTCTGTTTTGCGAACACTGACTGTAAACTCTGGCAGAAACTTATGGTTGTTTATCTACTTCTTATACATATTTGCACTTGCATCGTCTGTGATAATTTTTGTCAGTTGGCTTCTGTTTCGCGAACACGGGCTGTAAACTCTTTCAGAACCGTATTGTTGTTTATCTACTTCTTATGCATATTTGCAGTTGTACAGTCTGTGGTACGTTTTGTTAACTGGCTTCTGTTTCGTGAACACTGGCTGTAAGCTTTGCCAGAAACTTCTGGTTGTTCATCTACTTCTTATGCATATTTGCAGTTGTACGGTCTGTGTTAATTTTTGTCAACTGGCTTCCCTTTCGTGAACACTGACTGTAAGCTCTGGCAGAAACTTCTGGTCGTTCATCTACTTCTTATGCATATTTGTAGTTGTACGGTCACTGTTAATTTTGGCAAATTGGCTTCTGTTTCACTAATATTGGCTGTAAACTCTGTCATAAACTTATGGTTGTTCATCTAATTCTAGGCGTCTGTCTTGTTCCAGACACTGTTTTGAACAACGAGATCCGGTATCTATATGGTGAATGTTTGTGTTTGATATGTGTAGGTTGCACAGCATTTGCTGTTATGTGGTCTTTTTTAATTTCCTTTAACTACCTTTAAAATATTATACCATTCATGATACTTATAAGTAGGGCTGTACCGAATATTCGCTTCGTATTCGCTTCGGGACCGAATAGTGGACCTATTGACTATTCGGTATTCGGCGGAATAGTTGCTGTCGTGCCGAATACGAATAGTAGTTACCTTACATCCGCTTCTGCATACACAGGCCTTAGACTGACAACAAGGAACGATTGGTTTTGTTGAAAGATTATGCAGTTTTCATGCATTACCTAAGCTGTCATTGACAATTTCCAAGTTTAATTACTTATTACAATACTTACGATTCTTTCATTCCTAGTTAATAGTTACCACAGACTGACTGAAGGATGTAAAACATAAGATGTTTTTAAATGTTTTCTATTCTGTACGAATACTAACTAGACATGGAAAGATTATAAGCTCCAGCCACATCCAAGTCGATAATATTAAAAGCAAACGAACGGAAACATATAAGTACTTGGGTGAAAACTTAAACTGCTCCAACATGCTGAGAGAAGAAATACAATCTAGAATGCAATCTAGAAAAAAAGTATTATATGCCCTTCAACATCAGCTAATGTCAAAGCGTCTGTCTTGCAACACCAAGATCAAAATATATAAAATGTTCATAAGACCAGTCGTTTCATATGGCTCTGAAACTTGAAGCAGAAATAAAAGAGATGATGCCTTATTACAGGTTTTCTAAAACAATCTTACGACAAATCTTTGGACCCATCAAAGATGCTAACAGCCGGGAATGGAGAGTGAGAAGCAACAACGTAACACATAATCTGTTTAAATCACCATTGATTACTGTCTATATGAGAGTCAACAAACTAAAATGGCTGGGCATATTGAAAAAATGTCAGATGACAGAGAAGTAAAACAGTGTACACCTGAGAGAGTATGGGCGTAGACCAGGAGGCAGACAAAAAAGAAGTTCGAGAGATAATGTCCAGCCAGACCTGCAAAAAACTAGTGTCACAAATTGTGAAGAGAAGGCCAGCCAGAAAGATGAATGGAGACGAGTGATATCTGCAGCAGTAAACCTCAAGGGCTCAGAATGCTAAAGAAGAAGATGACTATTCTGTGCTACTTTATGTGAAATAAAAGTTCAGCGTACATGTGACATTATGAATGGTGTGGTTTTTTTAACATATATATTTTATACACTATTCGTATTCGTATTAGGCCGAATAGTTAGTCCCGTTATTCGTATTCGGCCGAATAGTAAAAATCACTTTTCGGTACAGCCCTACTTATAAGCGTTGTTGCATGCAGTATTCGGAAATATTTCTGATGTATTTTTAAACAGTTACCAAACAGTATGCAATGATAATGAATTGATTTAATCTAACGAGATGAAACTGGACAAATTAGTTTGTGCTGTTTGTACTTTGAGGATAACTATTTAGTAGTGCTATAAGTACTGTTAAGAAAACTGCTCTGGGTGAAAAGTAATTGCCCCCTGGGCTCCTCTGATGCAGCAATACCCTCTAAAAATCAAAGAGTTAGCACTGATATTTCTTTACTTCTACTGGAATAATTTTCAGTTTATATCCAAACTTTATTGATGCTTATGTTCATGTTGACTGTAGCAAAAGCAGTGTTGTTTGTTTGTAAGAGCCTTTATTGTTTTATGTAAATAGCACACTTATTTACCTTAACAATGACGTATAGTTTAAAAAAAATATGTCGATAATAATTGGAACTGTAGTTTAATTTGAGTATACATCTCCTAGATAAAAACTGTGGACACAGAGGGACTCCATTCTTGCACAAGAACTGGAATCCCCATTGACCTGTTGGGCCTATAAATAGAGAAGGCCGTGGCTAGACCTATATTTTAAAGACTAACGGCACAAAATGGGTGATGTGGTCAGCAACACGCCGGCGGCGTTTACCTAATCTCACTGCATCTGGTACCCACTCAAGGCTGGGTCGACCTGGGAGGCAAGGTAATTTTTGAAAAAAATTTCTAGTTCCGCATTGGAGCGAACCACGACATTCGGATATGTAGACGAGCTCCTAGCCACTAGACCACGGCGACTCCCGAGGTTTGTCGTTATAATTTAATAAACGTTAGCCTGGACGCTTTGGCGAAACGTCTCTGCAGATTTTGCCTGTGTGGTGGCCTTCACATATTGTATGAGGTATTCGGTTTCTAGTCTCTTCGTCTACCTTAGTCAAAACATTTCTAGACAACTGAAAATGATTGGAATCAGATGTATGGCGGTTGGTCAATCTTATATGTCTATGTACGTCTTTACGTTCGTAAGTGTTTATGTGTGTATGTATGTGTGCTTCTGCAAGGGTAAGTTTTGCCCTATTTTGCTCAAACATTAAATGAACGTTACAAACATACTTCAAAATAGGCCAGGATCCCTGCTTCTTTCGTGAGCGGGCCGGCTCTTCCTTTACCCCGGAATGGAGACCCAACTGAGTGACGGTCGGGATCCTTTAGTGTAAACGTTCTTGCATATGTGGGGATTCCAATGTTTAGAAGGCTCTTCGGGGCGCCAAGAGACACATAGTATCTGGCAACCCAATCCTACAGAGGCATCACAATTAAACAATTACAGACTGTGAAAGTCAAGGTCCCTTTTTTTACACGCATTTTTTACACTGCGTATTATGGTCAAAATCACACAGGCATTGCAGGCTGTAGTGAGAAGTAGTTAACTGTTCTTAGATATCTAATCATTACCTCACAATACCGAGAATAGTGTAAATGGCGTGTTTGTATTAAGTTACTGTGCATTATATGACTCACGTTAACATCATAGTGTGAAAACTCTAAATAGCAGATTCCTGGATATAAATCTATTTCTATAGTTACACTTCCTGCTGTCATTTCTACCAGAATTGGTGATTAACTCTTTTAGTAGCAAACGTAGATCATCGTAATTCCATTCATAACATCTGTTACTTTTGTTAGTTAGGTAGTCGACAGATTGTCCTCACTGCACATCGAAACTCTGCACTTCGGATCCCATCCTTAGTCCCAGAGAGAGTAACGGCCGCAAGTCGATCAGCTTACTCATTTCCTTGCACGCACGCGGGCCCTGACACACATACGTTACCTCAAACATAACTACTTTAAAAAAAATATGAGGAACAACAATGAAAAAAATAATTAAAATAAGATGGGATATTAAAACAACTGCATAGGCACCTTGAGTTCTAAAAAAAAATTGCATGTTGAATTTTATAAGAACACCACTTGCAGAAAAAAAAGGTGCTTGAGAAAAGCAGCCAACCTAACCATCCGTGATCGAGTGAATAATGATACTGTCAGACAAATTGCGGGAAAGACACTTTGCACTAGATTTATCGAGAAACAGCACATCAAGTAGTTTGGCCATCTCGCTAGAATGCAGCCAGATGAATACCACGAAAAGCACTACACATCAGAAGGTCAGCTACAAGAGGACGGCGGTGAAATCATGGATCGACAACTTGAAAGACTACGCCTTCAAAGCCTGACAAAAGACAATGGCAGCCGCGTGCACTGGATCGTGGATTACTCTTCCCCACGATGCTTAACGACAGAAGTCGTGATCGATCTTCCTAGATAATTAAATTCCCTCGCCTTATTCAGACTAGAATCATTCAGCTGTATGCGTAGTGGGCCAGGGGTTCTACTCACGTGCAATGTTTCTGTTTTGTTTGCATTGATCTTTATGTTGCATTTACTGCTTGCTGAGTTTAACCTATTAATGTAGTCGTGGTCTATATTCTTAAGGGTAGAACAAGCACTGGTCGTCAGCACACAGTAGTTTGTTTAATGTGGGTGAATTGATTACTTTATCTTATGTGAGTACTTCCTCGTGATTATAAAAAATCTATGTTGTCTGTATCAGAACTTGCTTCTTTAGATAGTCTGTCTATATAAATATTAAATAAAAGTGGGGAGAGTACACATCCCTGTCTCACGAATGTGTTGACTGTGAAAATATATAATTATTCATTTGTAAAATAATATAAAATATATGCACACATACTAGAGACAACCACTTTTACCGCCTAAAAATCTTGCTCCGTGGATCATAATTTTCGTCTCTTATAAGAAAAATGTCCTCATTCATAGTTTAGGTGTTCTGAGTTCAACAAGATTTAATGTTAAGTATACCTTTATTTTAAAAAAAAAATATTTTTTTTTCGCTGCCTTTCTTTTGTATGTTCGTTTTTTATGTTTGTATTTGTTTCCACCACTTTTCGTGTATTTTTTGCAACTACCTTTTCTATTCCTATTTTGGCATCATATATTTCTCACCTGCATTAGTGGCTCCCCAGTTTGTAACTGTATCTTGTTTTGATTATTCTTTATTTCGTTATTGAAGACTTTGTGAGTTTCCCGTTGTTCCATTCTCCTGTTAAACTTATTTTAGCGATAGATTATATTTTTTTAAAAATAAATCGTGGTTATCTAATGGTGCTTGACTACTGCAAGAAACAAAACGAGATTCGTAGCTACTAAAAGAAACGTAATTTTTTCATAATTTTGACATTCACATTCTTTGTAATTTAGTTAATTAAATTCTTAAAATTGTACGTAAGTATACCGTAGGGTTCAACCATTCAGTTGACAGTTATTATGCATCTGCATCATTGAAAGTGTTTATGCACACTGGTGTGTCATTCAACCTACCCACACACACACACACACACACACACACACACACACACACAAACCTGCCATCGTACAACTATGCGTCACTTTTTTTATTTTTTTTCAAACAGGAAAACATTGGATAAAATGCACTTTTTTGGGTCGTAAAGTTAGGTATATGGTTTAATTTGTGTTCTTACCACATTATGCTGGGTTTCCTCTCCACTTTCATCAGGGTGTGCGTAAAGGGGCGAGTTGAAACCGACACCGCTACTCCAGTCTCCATGAAAGTCGAAGCTCCTAATGGACATGAAGTCAACGGTTCTGAGGATGATAAAAAGTTTAATACCAACCTTAGGGTTTGACCGAGCATCAGAGCAGAACGGAAAGCAAAACATAATTTAAGATCACGCCATTCGGGTAAGCTAATACTACTTCGGCCTCCATCCTCAATAGCCTATACACTGATGGTGCCCGTTGTCTTCTGGTTAACTACTCGTCTTGTCTTTCCTCGAGTATAATAATTAATTAAAGAGCATATGGATTCGATCCCATCTGCGGGCTATGCGCCTTGCGTTGGTTTCGACAGTGGTATCAGGAGGCCGACCGTCCAGGAGCAATGTCAAACTACTGGACGTAAATTTGCCTAGAAAACCCACACAACAGCCAGGGGCTGCTGGGGTTGGTTCTGCAACGACCTGTAAAGGATACGCAAATAACCATATGGACAAATAATGTTATCATTTACCCTCAATACCAAGTAGGAGCCTTGGTAGTGCCTTGTATAGAAGCTTGTCAATTGACCCTAAGGCGTTTGGTTCGGATCCAAATGGGAGTTGATTTTTACAGTTCACCTAGATCTCTTACGTCGACCAAGAATAAATGCGTACTAGGGATTGTACTAGGAAGTAAATTCAGACTGCATGATAAAGCTTTTAGTAAGTCACCGATTATCCGTTGATAAAAAAAAAAACCATGTGTCTACCAGAATATGCTGATTTTGCAAATAGGACGAAACAAGTTCTTTTCTTCACTTTTTTTTTTTTATATTGTAACATACTTATGCGAAAATATCTAATGAAGTCTCATATCTCCTGTTCTGAAAATCGTTCTTAATCCACAAGGCACATTCTGATTATGTATCCTTTTTTCTTTTTCACTTCCTGTTTTATTGCTTTTGGTGTCAAGGGACTATGAGGTTCTGCTTCTTACTCTTCTGGCCGCGACGAACATTGACTCGTCATGCTGTTGTAAAGTTCATCAACCGTTATGTTTCCATCACCTTCTTAATATACCTCGTGTTTTATGTCTTTCTCCTGTTAAATGAGTGCTTTATATGGTAGACCTACAATTTTGTTTGATGTCTTCATTATTTGTAATTCAGAATTGCCTTAGCACCATCTATCTATAAACGCCATTTAATATTATCAGAAAACCTTGGGAAGCAATTAAATGCATTTAACAATGAAACAAATATTTCTTATTTTTATACGATCCTACTTTAAAGAGTTGTTCACACGCGGTTTTGTAGCTTACAGCAAAGCTAGACCAAAACATGTGAGTTCTGCAAACTCTGAATTAGTCTCTTTGTTGTTGTTGTTGTTGTGTACACAAAGATGTACCAATTCACACACAGTGAAAGAGAAGAAAAGAAAAATGTGCCTCACATATCCCCACCTAGATAAATCCTCGACATCATAACCGTCATCGATTTGAGACTTGAAAGGGGGCACAGCTACTGACAACAGCAGTCGTTCTTTACCAGTTCGAGATGCTTCCCGTTCAAAGGCTTTCATTATTTCCTAACAGGAGACATGAAAGATTTTCGTCTGAAAACTACCGGTAATGTTAGAGCAAAAATCGCATTTGCAAGCCCTACACCATCTTACCAAAAGAAGGGATCGACTATTATGCAGCGTATGAATATGTGATACCAAGCACATAATTTGTAGCTAATATTACAAATCTCGAAGCCAAATGTTTGCCATGTCGACTGGTGCGCCTCACTTAAGGGTATCTGATTTTCACATCTCCTTATCCTGCTTAGGACTGATGAAGCACAGTTTTCATGCGCATACCTGAGTGCCCGACAGTATTAGCACGAATATCTGTCTACTAGAAATATCATAGACAATAAAGCGGAATGTCAACAACACTCTACATCATGTCTGCCCTGTGTGTATGTGTGTGTGTCTGCGTGTCTGTGTGTCTGTATGTGTAGGTCTACGTCTGTGTGTGTGTGTGTGTGTCTGAGTGTCTTTTTGTGTGTCTATGTGTATATGTGTGTATATATGTGTGTCTATGTGCGTCTGCGCGTGTGTCTGTGTCTGATTGTGTGTGTGTCTGTGTGTGTTTATCCATGAGTGTGTGTCTATGCTTGGGTGTAACTGTGTGTGTGTGTGTGTGTGAGTCTGGCTGTGGGTGTACCTTTGAGTTTGTGTGTATGTGTTTGTGAGTATGTGTCTGTATGAATGTGTCTGTGTGTGCATGTCTATGTGTGTCTTTCTGTGTGTATGAGTGTATGTATGTGTCTATGTAGGTATATATGCATGTTGATGTGTATGTTTGTGTGTGTATATGTATTTATGTAAGTATGAATGTAGGCGTATATGTGTGTGTAAGTGAGGGACTGGGTTTGCGTGTCAATCAAACACTTTATGACTTAACAACACTTCCGGTTCCGACATTGATAGGGAATAGATGACGGTTGAGAACTTGGCTTATGTTGACGGATCTCGTTGCCGTTTCTTCTCCAGTTTCGATGTTGCCAGAATGTGAAAGTCCGGTTAGCAGCTGGAGCTACTGAGTTTAGTGCTCCTGGTGGCACTATGAGCTGTTATTATCGGTTATTGACTGAGTTCCAGATTCTTACAGGGTGGCAATAATGGGTGATGTATTTTCTTCGTTGTGTTCCTGTGACACATTTTGAAAGAAACCGAACACAACGAGCTGTGGAGAGGAGACACCGGAGAGTAAAACTGCCTCACAACGAGGGAGTATCTGCTTTTGTGTGTATCCTGTGTGGCAAAGGCTGCCATTCCCGCATCGGACTTTACAGTCACAGCAGATGCTGTTCCCAAAGCCAGCGGCACATCTCCATAGTCCCCCGGGACTGACGGATGCCATTATTATTGTTCCTGGGACAAGGCGTGTGCTATAGCTGCTATTTATTTGCTGGCCGTGGCTGCAACTTGGCCGAGGATATGTGGAGAATGGTCAGGAATAGTTTTAATCTTCTCATAGCCCAGTCATTCGTCGAATGAAGTTGATTTTCAGTGATGACGCCTGGTCTCGCAGTGTGTTTAAGGAGGCATGCACCTCATGGTTTGCCAGATCAAATCGTGTGTTTTGCTGACTGAGGACTTTTTGTATGGCTACGGCATTCACTTGAAGTATGCAGCGTATCTGACTCAGTTCGTGACTGGAATCACAGGCATAGGCGGTAGAGCAGTTATGTGCTAAGCTCATTTGCTGTGATACCGGAACCATAACGACTAACTAGCTAACTTCATCACAGATAGGAGCAACAATTTACTCTAGAAAAAAAAACTTTGTGATTGATAGCGTAAATGTAACAACGGGTACATTGTTCGAGTAAGGAACTTTTAAAGTAAATATAGGGGTAATCACTTTTCAAAGAAATGTACAGAACAAAGGGATAACATAGAATTTAGCAGGCCGCGGCAAACCCCCCCCCCCCCTCTCCCCTTTTCCTCCCATCCCCAATAATAACAACTTTAATTGCAAATAATTTCGAAAAATATGTATGAGAGTGATTTTTCTAAGAAAATGTTAAAGTAATGATTGTTCAAAGAATTTGAAAGCGCGTTTCTTTTAGGTTTGGTCAAGGATATATTTCAATGCATCTAACGTCAACCATAAATCTTCCATTTACCCACACACAAAAATCATTCGATGAGGGTCTAAGCATTTGCACTGGTTGCAAACAATGTACCGAAAGTATGCCTACCTGAATCGGTTACGATGTAACCGATTAAACGGTCTACCATGTCGACAATTAGAAACAGTTAGGATTAACAAGATTACTGCAGACAACACTGCAGATATAGATTATTTAGTTCAAGCAAACGAAAGAAGAAGAAAATTAATGAGTAAGCCAAATTTAAAAAAACGAATGGCAGCATTGTTCTTTGACTACTTGGGAGTTAGAACAATCTTGACTTTTGCTTACCTGTTAAAATTAGTTTTGAATAGGAATAAACTCACAGGGAGCAAGTACAGCAGGGATCTACCAGTCGTCAGTAGAAATTATCCTCGTCAACGAGCGTTTCGGCCCACGTTTTCTAGACGCTTTCGGAGGTGGGTCCACCTGAGTTCATGAAGCTCAGGGCTGGTTCCCTGCTGCACGAGATTACCGGATGGTGTTTTTCTTTCGGATAGAGACAAGACGACTTGGTGGTTTCGCAGAAGGTACTGTGAGATAAGAAGTCGTTGCGGCAGCCTAATTAGAACAGTCAGCGTGCCTGGACGACCGAGCGACAAGCTTACGATTGGTTTACCGGACACATGTTGAACTTTTGTTAGCAGGTGGCAGAGGAACACTGGCAGACAATTCGTACACGATGGACTTTTCAAAGGGTGAGAAACCCTTTTCCCCTAGAGACCCGGACCAGCTCATCGAGGCCCGTCCCCTACGTTGTTGCGTTGCGTCCAAAGCCAGCTAGAGGCCCTTTCGGCTACCTCTCCCAGTTTTTTGAGTGTTCGTTTCCGTTCCTTACCGCGCAATCCTAGTTCTTTAACCACATTGTAGAGCGAAGTGGAAACGAGGCCTCTCGCTCCCACTTCGACGGCAAAGACCCGTACTGTGTACGCCTCGTTTCTCCTCAGACCGGCTGCTAAATCACTGTATTTCCCGAGCTTATACATGTGATTCTCCTCCATACGCGACTCATATGGGACAGTCAGCTCAATCAGGATGAGCTGCCGTTTTTGCGCAGAGTGGAGAACTATGTCCGGTCGCAGGCCGGTCTTCCGGATCAACTCGGGGTACCTTTCATGGCCCGGCAGATTAACCGCCAGTAACCAGTCCCTCGCAGAGTCTAGCACAGATGGAGCGAATGCGTTTTGGTTGACCTTACCTTTTGGAACCTGCCCAGCCTTGTGGAAACGAATGGGGACGATGCTAGAACTGGCTCTGGCGTTAGCCCTCATTCTAGCCAGGTCGACAACGGCTGCTAACTCTTTTAGCACCTTGTTGTGTCGCCAGGTATATCGGCCTTGACCTAGGGCTTTCCTGCACGCGGACAGGACGTGCTCAAGAGTTTGCTTCGCCTTACACAACGGGCAAGTCGAATCGTTAGTCGCAGACCATTTAACCATGTTAACACCGGACGGTAATACATCGTACGCCGAACGAACGATAAAGCTCAGACGCAGCGGGGTCATCCGCCAGATCTCACCCCATGTGAGTACTCTTGGCAATGCGCTCTCCAGGCTGACCCAATGGCCCTGCTGCGACTGCTGGGCTGCTTTCTGGACCCGAACCTCGTTTTCGTTGTCCCTCACCGTTTGTATTACCATGTCTCGGCGCTCTTTGGCTGAGGCCTTTGACCACCAATTGACCTTCCTGTGCCCTAGGCCTCGACGGTCGGTTTGAGTGTATCTCATTATCTCGTTCAATTTTAGTGCATTCTGGTCAGATTCTATCGCATCGAGGACTCTCCACTTCTGGCCAGTCTTTAGAGCGGGCTGGACAGCGATGACTTTTGGGTCTGAAGACTCGCGCAAGAACATGGCGAGTCTTACCTTGCCGACTTTAAACTCTTCGGTTATCGATTTGAACGGAAGTACCAGCTTAGCCTGCTTTCAATACAGAGCCACGTCGGTCAGACAAGGCGGTGCACCAATGCACTTTCTCAAGGCTGTGTTGATTTTCTTCTCCATGGTTTCCACTGCAGTCATCGTCACCTCGTAGACTAACAGTGGCCATAGGAGCTTTGGAATCAACATGAATTGGAGACACCATACCTTGAATTTTCCGAATACTTGAATACTTTACAGGGTCGACGTTTATGCGTTGCGAACGAGCTTTGTAATCTCGGGTTGCCGGTTAAGATCCCAGCTGCAGACGGTTTGTCTTGCGTTGGTTTCGACAGTGGTAAATATGACCGTTTAGAAGCAGTGGCAAAATACTAAACGTAAAATTTGCTTGTAAAAACTACAACAGCCATCACATGATGGGGTTGGTTCTGCAACGTGATGTAAAGAATCCGCAACTAACTTATAAGTTAACTGTACGGGACGTTGCAAACAATGTGTTTGCGATCGTGTTATTAAAAGCCAGTGTACGCGAATTCGTTTGCCACAGTCTCCTGTACAGTTATGTTACTGGATTGCAAACCATATTCCTAACCCTAAGCCACCGACACTTAGACGCTTACTAGCTGGATACCCAGTAAGGGTATTATTGCTTTTAACACAAACGAGGCGTGCATGTAACGGCTGTAACCGCTACTTACACTTTTCATGTAAATACTTTAATGTTTATTATTACTATTTACTTTTTACTATAACTACTTTATTTGCTTTCATCTGTAACATAGCGACAAGACGGCTCGCTTCATGCATATATCATAATAAATAGCAAATTGACGAGGAGGAAAACATCACGTGTTACGTTCTTCAGGGCAATTGTTACCTGATAACGCTTACATGTGTGACTTGACCACGCATCGCTACTGGTTTATAAAAAACGAAATGTCTTGTAGATTATATTTGCTGTTTCGAAATGCTAGATGTGTGTCATTCTACCTTTCAGTCTTGTCTTCAGGGGCAGAAGGAACAAATAGTAAACATATAAAAGAGTCGAGCAAATGAACATTATTTTCAAATAGTCGTAGTTTGAGCGCGCAGGGGAGTTTTAATTCAGCTCTTCCAAACATCATCTTTAAAC